GGGAACCTTCTTCTTGTCGACTCCACCAATTACGACAACGTTACAGTGGGACTGAACCTCTTAAGCCAACTCTAATTTCAACTCCACTGGTATCTTAAACGTCGTAATTTAGAGGTTTGCCACATGACAAGAAGCTAGGTCTTCTAGCGGCGGCCACAGGTGGCTAGTTCGTAGTGCGGTTTCCTAATTGCTCTTGCGTACATCAATACGGGTGAACGGTGTAAAGTTCCACCCTCCAGGACCTGGCATGTGGCTGAAAGGTGCAGAATGTTGAGTCGCTCACGATTTCCAATTTCAATTTTTGTCCTCTCGACTTGGCAACGCCACTAGAGGGCAGTGGATGGGGGGGGGGATGCTGCACGAGAACAAATCTGGTGCTACTATGGCGTGATTTATAATTCATCACACCCTTAAAAGTGTAATGAAGCTGTACACAATAGATTGTGTCAGGGTGCCGATTTTAGTTACTTCTACATACACAAACGAGGTGCATCGACGCTGATCCCTATCACTGTATTCGAAATAGAAGCAGGTTCAATAATACATTCTGACAAATGGGCAGCTTATTGGCGACTTAATTAGGGTAAGTACAATCGTAAAAACGTCAATCAAACAGAAAAATTACGTTGCTTCGGATACAAGTGTGCCCACACCAGGCAATCTAGAGAACTTTATTGAACAGTCAGATTGAACTTTTGAAGATAAATCGCGGAGTTCCACAGCATTTACTTCAGGGGCAATTAGATGAACACTGCTGGCGTCTTTTGAAGTGGAGATGAACACCACTTCGGAGCAATACAGTGCGATCTTAAGTAGGTATGTAAGTTGAATTTAATTTTCGCAAGAAAGCCGACACATTTTAAAACTGATTCTGAATTTTGACCCGTATGGATTAGGATATAAATCATGCTATAGTAGCATCGAAAGGTGTTTTGATGTAATGCATGCGCTAGTCATTCTCCTCAGTAAAGATGGTCCGTATCCCTTCTGACCGACGGCATACTTTCTGTGTCTCAGAGGCTGACAAGGTCGCAAACGTTAAGAGCAGTTTTATTGACTCTTTCGTTTGTGTTTTTGCTTACATTGACATCATAACAAGGCTCAGTTTTTGAAAACTGCAGTCAAGATCCTGATCCTCAAAGTTCTTCAGTATGGTCGCGCGCGTTGAGAAAGTGCTTAAATCATATGGTGAAAGACGGAATCTTACTGAGAGACTATGTCCCTTTTATGTCTGACGTAGATATTTATAGGTAGGAAAACATTTGTCTGAACTTCGTTCGAGTAGGTTTTTTGGAGACAAGAAAGCTTCCAGAGACCTTTTACAATACTCTTTGAGGAAAAGCTGCTAAAACTAGTACTCTGATCCGA